AACACCATTTTTTCTTTGCTATGCAGATCTCTAGAAAATAAAGACTACAGAAAAGTCCCCTGCAAAGAAAGAACCCACTGCAAATTTTGTTCCATACGTCTTCTTCTCAACGTCTGCTCAGGTTCTGGATCAAATGGAATCAATTTTTGATCTGTTGAACGTGTGTTGACCATGCACAGATTGTAATATGCACTGCCCTACTGTGATCTGTAAAAAATTTAATTTAATTAATTTTTTTTCTTTTTTTTATATTTTATTTTATGTGTACAACAATAATTAATGAAGAATCTGATTAGAGTGAATTATTTTAAATAATCCCCGGCAACGGCGCCATTTTCTTGATAGGGATTTTACTACACACATGAAAGGGCTAAAAATTCCTATAATACTTGCAAGAATTACAAGGTTATTGTAGTATAAACGGATCTCGCAAGGTTGTTCTCCACAGGGATTATTAAATAATTCGAAACCAACCAAATTCCAATTAATTATTGTAAAGTAGAAATTGAGATGATTGATTTTATAACCTACTTAAATTAAAAACGAATTTAATTAATAAAAGTAAACTAATCTGCAATATTAAAGATGAAAGAAAAGGAAACAGTTTTGGAGAAATCAAATTAAGAAAGCACTAACAATCCTATGAGCTTTTACCAATTACTTATGATCTACACATGCCACTTTAAAGGTTAGGTTTTCCTAATTTATATTCTACTTGGAACCTCCAACATAGAACATATTTCTAACATGCAACCCGTCCGGATGTTCGGATCAAATCTGAACATGAGAGACTCATTATGCTTTATGAAAACCCTTTGAAAAACAATGCAACCCCTAAGACGTGGTGTTCATTTTAAGTGAAATTACAATTATTAATCACAAGAAGCCAGGGTCAATTTCAGGGAACCTTTTGACCAAAATTGCATCAAATTACTTTTCTAAAGATCCTAATGGTGATCAGGCATTAAGACAATTAGATAGTTTTAATCCAAGTGATTAATAATTCAAAGTACGCATGCAATCAATCATAAGCAATTAAATAAAAATTACATATTCATACTAAGGCTCAAGGATTCACCCTAGCAAAAGAAATTAGTTACGCATATTCATAATTGAAATCATAGAAAATATTATTAAGAATAAAAGGAATGAAAACACCTTAAAGTAGAAATCTCCAAGAACCCTAGCAATTCTCTTTGTCTCCAAAGTTGTATAAAAGAAAGCATAGAAAAAAAAAAAAACTAAGAACGGCAAAGCAATATATTTGCTAAGCCATCGCACAAACCCTAAAACATAGGTCTCTTATTCCAATTAGGAAACTAAGAAAAATAATAAAATATCTTAGAAAATAAAACCCTAATTAAACTAGGAGAATCTGCCAAGTACTTGTCCAGCCACGTTTTAGCCTCAGATCTCCTCCAAATCGGCCCAAGATAGCTTGTTTTAAAGATCAGGACATTTCGAACACATCTTCAGAAGGCCACGAAACCATCCAAGGTCATCTTGGGCTCCAAAAACGTAATTTAAACCCAGAAACGTCATTTTCCAGCACCGTGCATCGCTCCTTTATTTTATAGCCAGAAAATAACCGCTTGGTAGAAAAATCTCAAATTTTGATACAATCAAGCTAAGTGACTCACAAACGTACTTCAGCTAGAATTACACCAAAATTCGTCCATTTGGTCTTGTTTTGCTCCAGAGGAAATCAAAAGTCCTATATTGAAAATACAATTCAAAACATCAAAATTCTTCCAAAATATTAACCAAAATATACTAAGAATAGGGTAAAATGTATAATATAAAATCTACTCATCAATGGTTCCTCTTCAATTCAAGAGAAATAATTATCAATTTTTAAGGCAAATTGACCAAGTTCATGAGCAGCTCTAATCACCAAATTCATCCCCCAATTCCTATATCAATCCGAGAGAGAGAGAGGAGAATTGTTCTAGAAGCTCACCGGAGGATCAATAGCTTTGACGAAGAACAACGGTTCGCTCCTACCAATTCACGCGAAGGAGACGGCGAGGGAAGCAGCGTATTGAGGTTCTTAGCAATCCCATGCTTTTGGGTCGGACTAATTAGGATGACTTAACGAGGCATGTAGTGGAGTCCGGGCTAGTCCCATTTAACTTAGTCCATAGCCATGCCAAACGTGGGTTATTAGTCTTAGCTAGTCCAATCCTAGCTAAGGAGGTCAAACAAACGAGCCCTTAGTATGATAAAAAGGTTTGTGCTCATATTGCGAGATTGAATTTGAACTTAATTAGTTTGTTACGACTTATAGGTCTAAGAAATGTCATGTGTCTTAAACTCACAAGTTGTAAGATGGATGGCTAGGATTTCATAAGCTTAGACTCTCTCTCTACACAATGAATGAATGATTTTGTAAAGTAAGATTCTCTGCATTGCAGTCTCTCTCATTCTTTATTTCTGATTCATTTTCTTTGCCTTCAATATATACAAATACACACATATACATACAACCATCAAATTCTAACAAATCTTACCTTGCAATTAATTTCGGAGTTAATTTCCCTTCTTAAGGCGTGATGTCTGAGTTTAATTATATAGCGACAGTGATGTAATTAATCAACTAGGTTAATGGATTCCAAGTATACTGAAAATATGTTGAAATGGTATTAGTTGTTAAATTTGGCAGGTATATATGTATCAAGCTCCCAAAGCTTTTATAAGTATTCTACATCCCCGGCTCGTTGTTCATTATGATGTTTTACTTCATCTCCCATCTGTGCTTCGATTTCCATTCTGTCTTTTGATCCTTTAATTTATGATATAACGATATTGTAAACGATCAAGACGTACAGTTATATGTTTTAAATAAGAATTCAATTAAGAAATAATACCAATTTAAAGAGTTCAACAAACAGAATTATTTTTGTTGGTGTGAGGGTCAACATCATATTTCTCACTCGATAATGTTAGGGAGACTAAATGTGTAGACTAAATTTTGTAAATTAAATTACATGAAAGTTGATGATTGGATTATTACTTAAATGTTGATTAACGTGCTTGTTTTTTATTAGTGACACATAATTTAACTTCCTAATTTAGTCTACCTAGCATTACTCTTCTCACTCCCTCTACTTTGGTTCCTTTTTACGGAATAGAGAGATAAAGGGGAAAGCGCTTTTCTGGGAATTCCTAACCAGCATGACACCATTCTCATTTGCTGGACAAAGCGTTTTTCTGGATCAGCAGGCGCAGTAGACAAAGTAAGATTAACACCACATTGTTCACTCTCGCCTGAACAATGTCAAGCAATGGCTCGGCACACCACCAAGAGTAATTAGAGCATGCGTCAATAGTGTTGGAATTTAGGATTATTTTATTGTTTGAATTTGGGCTTAGCCCGTTAGTATTAGAGTTTTATTTTCTTGCTTATTATGGTTAGGTTAGTTCTCTATATATATGATGCTTTGTAGCTCGAAGAATTAAGTTAGTCACAATGTAGCCTTCTAGGGTTTTGTAACCGTTCCGGCATTCTCATTAGTTTAATAATATTCCTATTATTTTGTAGTCTTGTTCGTTGCGCACTCTGATATTCAACTTGGTATCAAAGCAGGTTTGATCCTTCGGGATTTAATCTACCCTTGATTCGTATCAATTTGTTTGTTCATCTTGTTCGTTGTTTAGATTGTCGTTGGTTTAGTTTGAAAATATATATATGTGTATATATATATATATATATATATATATATATATATATATATATATAATGTCATTGCCCAGAAACTACTCAGCTTGCACTTGCTCTTGCATCTGCACCAATTCGAACCACCGCCTGCCATTGATCAACATTGCCGCACCACCACCAACCCACTGCAAACATAAACTAGTTTGATGCCAACCTTCCCACTTCGCTGCACCAGTGCTTAACTGTCCAATGCAACCCGCTTGTTGCCTACATCTGCTGCCCCACCATCGTTGTTGCTCGACCCTGTACTCCACTTCCGTCTTGAACCCACTGAACCACCACGGCAACAAAATCCCATCACCACTACACTCGCATCAACCCCATCTGCACACTACCGCTGCAACCAGAAACCTAGCACATCTGCCATCTGAATGGATTGTTCGTTTGTTCGCTTGAATCGCTTGCCTTATCGTGTTCGCCTAACGGAACTTGCCTTATCATGTCCGCCTAACAGATCTTGTCTTGTATTGTCCGCCTAACGGAGCTTGCATCCTCATCTTCTTGTTGCAAACTCTTGCCATGTACCGCCATGAGTTTGACGGGGTGTTGGAATTTAGGATTATTTTATTGTTTGAATTTGGGCTTAGCCCGTTAGTATTAGGGTTTCATTTTCTTGTTTATTAGGGTTAAGTTAGTTCTCTATATATATGACGCTTTGTAGCTCAAAGAATTAAGTTAGTCACAATGTAGCCTTCTAGAGTTTTATAGCTGTTCCGGCATTCTCGTTAGTTTAATAATATTCCTATTATTTTGTCTTATTCGCTGCGTACTCTGATATTCAATTTAGTCGTGTTCACATGTTTAATTGAGCCCTAGGAGAAGTTGATTTTTTTCTAATAGGTATTTTGACTAAATTAAAGCTGAGATCACCGTGATTAGTTTTGTGAATTTACAATTATGATCGCAATTCTTGATTCTATTTTCTTCATGCAGATTTCTTTTCTTGGTACAAGTCTTGGTCACGTACATTTTTCATGCAATGAAAAATAACTTCATTCAAAACTTATATACATCGAGTGGTTCACTACATTGATGTGAAATATAAATGACAAATGAAAAGTAAGAGTAATTAACTACTTTTTCTTCTTTACTATGCAACACAAATAGTCTGATGCAAATTTGAATCGCTGACAGCAGACAAGCTCGACATGTTTTCTCCCAACAGCTCCTCCTCTTTCTCGTCCCGCAAAACAAACGGATGGCTTGAAAGATCTTCAGCCGTCCATCGGTTTCTTGGGTCTTTCACAAAACACTTTCCCAGAAAATCTTTTTCCTTCTTCACTCAAATCTGCGGCATCTCATCTCCTCCAATCCTCATCAAAACCTTGAACATATTCGCCCCAGGTTTGTGATCCCACGCCGGTTTTCCCTTCGCCATCTCCGCCACCAAACACCCGAGAGACCAAACGTCAGAACACGCCTCATACATGTTGTCGTTTACTGATTCCGGCGCCATGTACAGTGGAGTGCCTCGTACTTCGACTTTACTTTGCGTTTCCCCTGCTTTCTTCGCCAGCCCAAAGTCAGCGATTTTAGTCACACCATTGTCAAAAATCAGAACGTTCTAAGGCTTCACGTCGCAGTGAACAAACCCTTTTCCATGGACAAAGCGAAGGCCTTCGAGCACCGACTTTGTGTGTTGTCGAACTTCGACTTCCGGCAAACGACCACCGTTCTTCTTGAGCTCATCAGCCAGTGTACCTCCATTCACGTACTCCAAAACCAAGTTGTAGAACTCCCTCGCCGTTTTCGATGGTGTGATTGTCACTGAAACATCGTATGATATGGGGACAAGAACCGACTTGGTCAAGGACTTGCTTCTCGTTCTTGAGCGTACCATAATCGCCTGATTCAGTAGTCTTCACGGCCACCAACGCTGGAAGTTGAGAAGATGGGTTTTTGGGTTTCGCTTTGTAGATGGTGGCGAAGCCTCCCCTACCGATTTTGTTTCCTCGAATCCACTCCATCACCATGGTTGAAAATCGCGGGTGAACCTAAAGAAACAAGGGTTTTTCTGTGAGGGTTTCGAGAACGATATGTGTTTGTTGTGTTTGGGTTTTTGGGTTTGCTATGGATGGAAGGAAGAAAAAATAGAAGCTAGAGAGCAATTAATAAGCAAGTACCTTCTATACAATGTGTATATAGGCACCTTTTACTTGGGACTTAAGAAACTTTTAGCAGTTTCCTATTCGTTGGATTAAAGGGTGTTGATAGGTAAAGACATTTTTACCGTGTGGGAAATTTGGAACACATGGCATAATGTAATTCGTTTGGGGTGATGGTTAGTTTTCTCCATCGGCAGTTAGTAAGCATGCACTTTGGTGCGTTTTAGAAGCAATGAGGATCCTCTACGAATCCTCTTTGTCAGGATCGGAGAGGATCCTAGAGATTATCAAATTGTGTTCGTTTATCATATATCGTGCGGTCAGAAATCATTTTAATACTTTTATTTAAAATTAAACATGAACAGTATCTGATGAAAACTGGTCGCACGATCTATGATGAACAAACAATATTTGAGGATCATGGGATCCTCACAAAGAGAATCCGAAGAGAATCCTCATTCTTTTAGAAGATTCAAAGTCTGTCACTGCCTATTTGTTTTAAATTTAAATCAATTAATTTTTTATTTAAATTAAAATTAATTAAAGAATTAATAAAGATAATTCCTTAATTATTATTTGCCAATGTTGACGTGTGCCATTCTTAATGACTTGTCTAGTTTTGACAAGTCACATACCATATATGTACAATTGTGAGAAGCGCTACATATTACTTAAGCTCTGATATGTCAAAATTTTACTATGTTGGTGATAATTTATTTTACCAAAATTTACATGTCTACACCATGTTCATATTTTCCTTCTTCCCCGGGCAAACAGCCAATTGGCCCTACTTGGATTGATAAATTTTTGTTTATCAGATTATGGTTAATTTTGTTAATTCGCAATCATGATCTCTCAAATTGTAAGTAGCTAGTTTGATTACATTTTAAGTTCCTGATTCTGTTTTTTTCATAGCGATTTGCTTTCTTGTTATATTTTGTTACAATAATTACTTCCTTGGGATATGATGATAATACTTTTGAGCCTTCCACGAAATAAGTTGAATTTGTTTTTCGTTTAGGTACTCTTTCGGTATGATGAGAATACTTGGTTTGTATACCGTTCACTATTATTGCGGTCTCAATAAAATTCCGGGCTTCCAACCTGGTGGAAAGAAAAAGAGTGTCACGTGATGAGTTCATATTATATTATGAGTAATGTTATTCATACCATATTTATATACCATTTTAGGTGGCATCTAATGTGGACAACCACATCATTTGAAAAATTTGCAAAACTCAAGGAAAGAAAAGAGAAAGATTCATCGTATACTACAATTATTATTTAATTAACTAGTTTTTCTTAATTATTAGTTTATTAAATAATGAACTAAATTTAAAAATCTGATTAATTCAAATGTTGTGGCTGTCCACATCAAATGCTACCTAAAGTGTTATGAAAATGTGGTACAAAAACATGGTATGAATAGCATTACTCTTATACTATATATTTGACCCTAATCTTAGTATTAATTTATTGGTTATTTTGGTAAAATTTCGATACTCTGTTATGTATTTTCAATGTAGGACATTCAAATTCCTCTTAAGCAAAAAATAACCAAACGAATGAATTTTGAAGTTATTCCAATTGGAGGATGTTCGTGAGTCTTTCCAGATGATTGTATCAAAATTCTAGATTTTTCTACCATGTCGTTTGACCATGGGGATGAAATAAAGGCCTAGCGCGCAACTTTCCCAGATTGATGTTTCTGGACGTTTTGGGCATTTTGGAGGTAAACATGGCATATTTTGAGGAAGATTCCTTATGAGGATTTGTAGGGGAGGATCCTCCTGAGCAGATGGAGAGGATCCTCGTGACCAAGCCCAGCGGGCCATTCAATTGTTATCCAACGATTATAATTATTATAATTTTTAGAGGGACCCCTGTTTGTAGTCGTTGGATAAAAATTGAACGGCCCAATGGGCCTGGTCAGGAGGATCCTCTCCATTTGCTTAGGAAAGGATCCTGATCATGTAGGGGACGTCTTCAGCTTTAAAAATAGACCTTTTGGGACCAAATCGGAGTTGATTTGGTCGATGAAAAGACTAATTCTCTGAGAACTCCGAATTCTAGTTCCAATAGGAAACCTTTTATTTTCTATTTTATCATTTAATTATGTTTCCTAGTTTTATTCTAAAACCTTTTCAAGGTAGGGTTTTATTTTCTAGTAGTATAAATAAGACTTTTTAGACATTAAAAGGGGAGAGAGAACCCATGCAATTTTTTGGAGAGAAGATTTGGGACAAAGTTTAGAGATTTTCATACTTTATTCTACAAGGTGTTTCATTCTTTTTCTAGTTTAATACAATTATGTTGATTTTAATTATGAATATGCATAACTAATTTTCTTTTGCTAGGGTGATGCCTTGAGCCTTAGCATGAATATGTAGTTTTTATTTAATTTCTTATGATATTATGCATACATACTTTGAATTATTAATCAGTGTGCTTAAACTATCTTTGTGTCTTAATGATTCGCGACCATTAGGATGTTTAGATAAGTAATCAGATGCAATTTGGACGGATTGCATGTTTGATATACGTTCTAGCTTGAATACCACGAGTAGAATATACATTAGGAAAACCTAACCTTCAAAGTTGCATGAATAATTCATAAGTAATTAGTAAATCTACGTAGGATTGTTAAGAGGATGGCGGAACCCTAGTACCTTCTGACTTTGAATTCTAAAATTTGTTTCCTTTTCCTTCTTTAAAAATTGCAGATTTTAGTTAACCTTTTTAATTAAATTCGTTTTTACTTAATTTAGGTCATTAAATCATCATTTTCCAAAACTTTATTCTAAATACTTAGATGAGATTTGATTTTGCGTTAATTTATTTTCAATTTCTTGATAGGTATTTTTACCACCTGCAAAAGTAGGGATAAAAACACTTAAAAATACTTGCAAGACAATAAGGTGGTTGTAGTATAAACGGCTCAAGTAAGGTCGTTTTCCGCAGGAATTGAATGAATAATTTATGTAAATATCAAATCTTAATTAATTATTTGAAAACAAGGGTTGGAAGAGGTTGATTTTATAACCTAAAATATTAAAAACGAATTTAATTAAAAACAATTAAATAAATTGGGAAAGTAAATATACAAAAGAAAATAGTTTTGAAAATCAAATTGTAAAAGCATAGTGTAGCAACCCGTCCCTAATTTTAAGTTTTATAAATTTTAAATTAGTGATTTATGAAAATTCCCCCTTGAGGCAATGATTTTGACCTTCGTTGGCCATCGGTTAGAGAGACGTGGAACTTTTTTTTAGCATATCCTTGTAGTACTCGTCACTACGAATGTATAGGCGAAAGCCGTTTGCGAGTTCGGATTATAACGGTATAGTTACAAACGTTTGAAATTGGTTATTTAAAGTTTAGTTATAAACTAATGGAAAATTTTATTTGAACCCATATAACATCTTTTCACACTCAACTTATCTCTACACCCTAGTTATTTGTAATTAAACTATCAATATCTCTTTAAACCCAAATTTACTACCTAAACTACCCTAACAGACCCAATTCAATATGCAAATTTGTTTATACACCCATTTAAAAGAAACCCAAAATCAAAGCATGTGTTCTTTTCCCTACAAAGTTGCTCTCTATAAATTCCAATTCCACTAGGATCTTGCAAGTTCATAGCATTACAAAGGAAAAGCGACAGATGGAGTATCACTGCTGGGATTAGAAAAAAAATCACGGAATATTTTCATTGTTCTTTTTGCTGATGCCTTCCCAACTTCTCTAGCTTGTGTATAACTGTAATGTTCCCGTCCTCATTTAAGTCGTGGCTTTCTTTGTGGCTATCTTCAAACTGCCTAATGAAAGGATTTGACAAACTCAAAGCAGCAGCTGCTGCAACTACGCATGCTAGCACTAAATTATCTCTGAAACTCTTCTTCTTAATTAAGACTTGAATAACAGTGAGCATCCTAGAGTGACAAGGACTCATAGGGTAATGAGCCATGGCCCTCCCTAGAGGTGTCAGTCTTCCATCTTTGTCAAGTGCTTGAACACTCTTCAAGCAACGCTCTTCTTTATCCAAGGCATCACCATCCAGAGGAGGTGGAAGAGGAAAATTGGATACATGGACGCCCAAAAAAAGGTCATACTGTCTTCTTAATCTTCTCATAATGCTTAATGAACCTGAATTCACAAAAGGTTGCGTGATGACAAATATTTAACTATTGGGTCTAGGTTTATTAATAGTTTTTAGTTTTATTGTTTATTTATCTTGTACTTTATAGTAATTATACAATAAGATAAAAAAGACCATTCACATTTAAAATTTCCCTAAATTAATTCAAACTCACACCATGTGAGAGTGGTAACCAATCAATTTTAAGGGAAGAAAGGAGTAACCAATTAGAGAAAGGGCAAGGGACCAATTAGAAGAATAGGAGGGTAGCCAATTAAGAGGGAGGATCTCCATCTTCCCGTCAACCACACCCACCACAAACCCAATTTCGACCCGGCCAAATTCCGGCCAATCTCCATCATTTTTCAGTTGAAATTCACACATCCATCACCTGAAAATTCTTCCTCAACCTCTCTTCTTCCATCTCCACCAAAGATCAAGGGTTTTAAGGCCTAAACCGCGAGGAACTCCACCAGAGCACCGAAGGTGCTCGACGGTGATTCCTCCAATCCGGTGAGTTCCACCACCTAAAACTACCCTCAATCAACTCCCTTTGGACCCAGGAACATGACCCAACCAGTGGTAGAGACATTGGAACACCGATGTAGGAGAATCGAAGTTCACCCATTTTAGGGTTCTAGCAGGTTTGAGTGAAATTGGAGCCTTTCCCGGCCAAATTGGACTTGTCCACAGGTGTAAAACTGGCTCTACTCTTTGAGATCTT